GGCTGCAGCATACTCTTGCAGCATGGAGCTATGTTTAGACACTGATGGGAAGAAGAAGCTGAGGTATATTGATTACTTTATGCACAGAATCAGTCTTCTACAACACTACGAGATTATCCCAGTTGTTGTTCTCGATGGTGGTAATATGCCCTGCAAAGCTGCCACTGGAGATGAACGTCATAGGCAAGTCTCTCTAGTTTGGTCAAAGATCATCATCTTTGTTTCATTTCAAAGTACCTTTTAACGAAGTGTTTGGGTTTGATTTTGGTTATCAGGAAGCGAAAGGCGAATTTTGACGCTGCAATGGTGAAGCTTAAGGAAGGGAATGTTGGAGCAGCTACTGAGCTTTTTCAGGTGCTTACTTCTTATTTCAGTGGCTAAGGTCTAATAAGTTGTACAGCTATTTGCCTTTAAGAGTTATTATCACTGCTAATTAGCAGCTGCTAAGGTTTTTCAGGTGCTTACTTCTTTTCTTTTGAATGGCTTAGAATTGAGATCTATAAGTTGTCTACCGTTTGTCTTTAGAGTTATTATTAATAAGGCTCTGAAGGCTCCAGTACTAGTCTGTGTTCGCAAGGAAGTTTTTTCCCTATCCGTCTTTGTGTCAGAATTTGAACCAGTTTCCCACAATCCTTCAACGTTATATGTTCCTCTTGAATCTTAAGTGTAGTTTTGCATTCTTCATGTGTTGGTTTGTATATTGAGTCAGTAATTTATCTGTACTCTGCTAATAGATTTTGGTCAAGACTAGGATATTGTGTGAGCTCATGTCTATTGTCACGACTATGTGCAGAGAGCAGTTAGTGTAACATCGTCCATGGCTCACCAATTGATTCAGGTATATAGTGTTTATCAACTTGAGTATGTTTTCTTAGAGAAATATGAACAATTCTTTAGGCCCTAACAACTTCTCAGGTTCTGAAATCAGAAAACGTAGAATTTATTGTAGCTCCATATGAGGCTGATGCTCAGCTAGCATACCTATCCAGCCTCAACCTGGAACAAGGCGGGATTGCTGCTGTTATAACCGAGGACAGCGATTTACTTGCATATGGCTGCAAAGCTGTAAGTTTTTTTCCACGTAACAATGAAACAAAGCTAATTGTTTAGATCACTGTATGATATGTTTCCTCAACTTTGTATGGTAAAAGGTTATCTTTAAGATGGATCGGTATGGTAAAGGGGAGGAACTGATTTTAGATAATGTTTTTCAAGCCGTTGATCAAAAGCCTTCTTTCCAGAACTTTGATCAAAAGCTATTCACTGGTTAGTATCTCATCTATTTTTTGAACGTTTAATGTGACTATCCTTCCCCAACATATATTGATACATTGTTGTTGATGACTGTTTCTGGTTTGGCCTTCTTCCAGCAATGTGTGTGTTAGCCGGATGTGATTTTCTCCCCTCGGTTCCTGGTGTTGGCATTTCGAGAGCTCATGGATTCATCTCCAAGTACCAGAGTGCAGAACGCGTAAGCATTTTACTTTCTTCGCCAATTGCTTGATGCTTTCTTCCATCGCTTAAGCAAAAGCCTAAGACGTTTCAAATGTGGGAATCTTGTAGGTTTTGTCAGTACTCAAGACAAAAAAGGGCAAACTTGTTCCTGATGATTACTCCAGCTCTTTCATGGAAGCAGTTTCAGTTTTTCAGTATGCTCGTGTGTAAGTGGTTCATCTCTTAGTCAAATGTTGTTAGCACAATTCTTTTATGATTCTTACTACTTTATTTCAATTTTTTGCAGATACGACGTTGATGCTAAGAAGCTTAAGCACTTGAAACCCCTCTCTCAAGATCTCCTGAATTTACCAGTTGATCAACTTGAGTTCTTGGGACCGTATCCATTTTCATTCCCTCCCCTATATTTTATGTTTGGAACAACTTGAATTCACATGAATATTTGCAGTTTTGTTCACCTTGACACCTAAACCTTATCAGAGATCTGTCACCATCTGTTGCTGCTGCAATTGCTGAAGGGAGTGTTGATCCCATGACAATGGAGGCTTTTAACCGCTTCTCAGTTTCTAAGCGAGAATTGAAGACGCCTGTTCGATCATTCAAGGAACAGGACACGAGAAGCTCCTTTTTGGTATGTTCTTTGCCTGAAAATGTGGAAAAAATAGAGCTCAAAAGGACTGCAGATGAAGCTATGATCGATCCAGAAACTGTTCTAAAGGAGGTAAAGTACTCCAAACAAGATTCAGATCTACACAAACTGGTGTTGCAGCCAAACAAGGATCAGCATATGATTATGCCGACCAGCAACACTTCGATGATTCCGGATAACAACCCGTTCAAGATAAGGAAAACTAATGAAATCAATATGGAATTCGCAGAGTACGGTTTGCAAGAACTTGAGGTTCCCTTTGGGATCAAAAGCCAAGCAATGGATGTGTCTTCTTCTCCACCAAACTCTAACGAACATGATTGTTCAGAGGATCAAAACAAGGTTACATTCGATTTATCCAAGCTTGATGATTCTGAAATCAATAAAGACTCTCAGAAGAACAGAGAGAAGGAAAGATCCGAATCCGTAGAAGAAGATCTTGTCGAAATTCAAGATCATGTGAACATTACGACGAAGAGAGTGCGTGGAGCACAGCCTAGAACCGAGAGTTTCAAAGTGAAAACAAGCTGTAGAGGTTCAGAGAACAAGAAGACTAAGATCAATAAGAAAAGCAGTATATTAAATTTCTTTCATCGATTGTAGTCAATTTCAAACTGTAATCTCTTCTTTGCTTCTTTGTAACTCTTAATTGATGATTAAACTTTTGGTTATAAAGATCATAGAAAGGATGAACATTTATTATTACGCAAACAACTTTGATGTAAACAAAAAGACAAGACACATATTGGTATATATATTTTGCAGCTATACTTTTATATATGGATATAGAAATATGGTTTGACATATAAATTAAAGAACCACATTTCTTTCCGGTCCGCTTTTGCTCTCATTGTTATTCTCTTGTTTGGTATCAGCGTCTGCGTGAAGCTGGCTCTTTTTGGGCGTTGAAGTAAACTGTGGCCACAGGTAAACCAAGATCGAGATAACCAGCGAACATTCGAGTACTGAAGTTGGCTCGCGACGGCGGTTGCTGCACCATCAGACCCACCGGTGAGTTCTGCCGGAAAAGTACCAATATGTAACGGTGAATCCCAACCGGTGGTCTCGGTTCCATGTATGGCAGTATCTCCTTTCCTGAAATTTTGAAAATTATTAAACCATGCAAGTATAGTGTACTTTTAACTTTTCTCGTGGTATTAAAAATAAATAAATTAGCTAGAGAAAATATATGTTTATATTTTTTTTTTCCGAAACGTACAAAAACATAGCATATTTTATTCATTGTGTTTTGTCGTGTTTAAGGTTTTGAGAAGATGAAACGTGTGCGTTATTGAGTTGAACTACATCAATGTACACGTACGGATACACATGAGGTGTTGTTTTGAGAAGACACCACACGTCGTTATTATGTGAGCATAACTTAAAACGAAGGAAAATTTTAATAGTGACTCGAAAATCATCATTCGTTTTTAACTGTTAGGGAAGGGAAGTACTCGGCTATATGTCGCCAAAAAAAATAATTTAAACAGAAGCAACCTATAGAGAGTCACGCATGTGATTTTTTTACCAATCGGTATCGTGCATTACGGAATCCATCTCATATCTAATCTAATCTTATTAACCTGATTCACCCACATTCCAAAGATAATATGTTTAAATGAACAAAAGAGATTAGTGCATCGGATTATTGAATTAGATCCAAACACGTCATCATAGACATAAATCATAATTAATCATTACTATATTTTCTTAATGGCTTTCACCTAACGTCAC